GGTATCCGGAGAGGATGAGAACAGGATCGTTGGAGATAAGGATCGATGGAGCTTCTAGGGGTAAGTAAACAACAGATCAGATAAAGGTAGGAGTCAGGCGGAGTTCAAGCTGGTGAACAGTAGACCGGACAGTGAAGCAGTGAGAGCAGTGCAGGGATATAGTGTGCTTAATGAGTCTCTGCAGGTGTGGGTGATCAGTATTCTGGTGATTGCGATCTGGTGTGTCTTGGGGCTGGTGACTGTGAAGGCAGAGACTCCCTGACTGCATGCAGTCGTCTAAACTACACCATCATTTCTGCTTTGATTACCTGTGAATTGTATACCTCTTACATTTCAGTATAGTAGATGTTTTACTACCTGATTCATTTTTGAAGGCTCTTAAAACCATGACATGCACTTTTTTTTCTCAGTCTGCTGCTGATCACCTGACAGCTCAAGTCACCAGTGAAGTGTTTGGGACTGTGTATGTGTTATTTTGTGCCATCAGCCAATTAGTGTTGCCAGGACAACATTTTTCTGCATCTCAAGTGAGAGCAGTCACATGACATTTACAGTTCAGGTAGCTGGCTCAAAAAGGTCTGTGGTCACATTACCAAACAAGGCATTTTGTAGCTCCAAAGAGCCCTGTGTGAGCCATACAGCTGCCATTAAGATGAATATAAAAGCTAACAAAAAAACTATCTCCAAACAGTATACAGTCATGGCCAAAAGTTTTGGCAGTGACAGAAATTTTGTGTTTTGCAAAGTTTGCTGCTTCAGTATTTGTAGATTATTTTTTCACGTTTCAATGGTATGGAAAACAATAATAAGCATATTAAAAGTTTTAAAAGCAAAGAAATCAGAGTCAATATTTGCAGTGTTGACCCTTGTTCTTCATAACCTCTGCTATTCACTCTGGCATGCTGGATATTAGCCTCTGGGCCAAATCCTGACTGATTTGGCATTCTTGCCTCATTAGTTCTTGGAGTTGATCACAGTTTGTGGGCTATTGCTTGTCCACTTGTCTTTTGAGGACTGACCACAGGTTCTCTATGGGATTGAGATCCGGGGAGTTGCCTTGCCACGGATCCAAAATTTCAATGTAATGATCTTCGAGCCACTTCTTTATCACTTCTGCATCTCAAGTGAGAGCAGTCACATGACATTTACAGTTCAGGTAACTGGCTCAAAAAGTTCTGTGGTCACATTACCAAACAAGGCATTTTGTAGCTCCAAAGAGCCCTGTGAGAGCCATACAGCTGCCATTAAGATGAATATAAATCTAACAAAAAAACTCTCTCCAAACAGTATACAGTCATGGCCAAAAGTTTTGGCAGTGACAGAAATTTTGTGTTTTGCAAAGTTTGCTGCTTCAGTATTTGTAGATTATTTTTTCACGTTTCAATGGTATGGAAAACAATAATAAGCATATTAAAAGTTTTAAAAGCAAAGAAATCAGAGTCAATATTTGCAGTGTTGACCCTTGTTCTTCATAACCTCTGCTATTCACTCTGGCATGCTGGATATTAGCCTCTGGGCCAAATCCTGACTGATTTGGCATTCTTGCCTCATTAGTTCTTGGAGTTGATCACAGTTTGTGGGCTTCTGCTTGTCCACTTGCCTTTTGAGGACTGACCACAGGTTCTCTATGGGATTGAGATCCGGGGAGTTGCCTTGCCACGGATCCAAAATTTCAATGTTATGATCTTCGAGACACTTCTTTATCACTCTTGCTTTGTGACATGGTGCTCCATCATGCTGGAAAATGCACGGATCATCACCAAATTTGATCGTTGGAAGAAGTCGCTCTTGCAGGACGTTTTGATACCATTCTTTATTCATGGCAGTGTTTTGGGCAGAATTATGATATATATTGGTTGAAAAGCAACCCCACACATAGATGATCTCAGGATGCTTCACTGTTGGTAAAACACAGGACTCATGGTAGCGTTCACCTTTTCTTCTCTGAACAATCGATTTTCCAGATGTCCCAAACAGTCGGAAGGGAGCTTCATCAGAGAAAATAACTTTGCACCAGTCTTCTGCTGTCCAATCCTTGTACTTCCTGCAGAATTTCAGTCTGTCCTTGACATTTTTCTTGGAGAGAAGTGGTTTCTTTGCTGCCCTTCTTGATACGAGGCCATTGTCCAAAAGTCTTGGCCTCACTGTGCGTGCAGATGCTCTCGCACCAGCCTGCTGCCATTCCTGAGCAAGCTCTGCACTGGTGCTGACACGATTCTGTAGCTGTAGCGATTTATGTCACTGCCATAACTTTTGGCCATGACTGTCAATCAAAGACCATTTAATTGATTTTCTTCTGTTCAGAACTGCTCTTGTGTTTATGCAGTTCAGTCTCAAGACAACATGCATTTATGTCACATTTAATTATTCTTTATTCATTATTTTAAATTCAAAAGCCGTCAGAAAAGTTGTGATTCTCAATGTGATTTTCAGGTAAAAACACTGTTTAGTACAGCAGTGGATATTATTATTATTATTATTATTTACATTTACATTTAATCATTTAGCAGACGCTTTTATCTAAAGCGACTTACAAATGAGGACAATGGAAGAAATCAAAATCAACAAAAGAGCCATGATATACAAGTGCTATAACAAGTCTCAGTTAGCTTAACGCAGTACGCATAGCAAGGGTTTTTTAAATAATATAATAAATAAAAAGAAAGAAAACAGAATATAGCAAGCTAGTGTTAGAGGCCTTTTTGCTTTTGTTAATTGTATAATAACTGAAAAGAAAACAGATAGAATACAAAAAGATTAGAAAGCAAGTGTTAGTTTTTTTTTTTTCTTTTTAAGAAAACAAGCAGCAAATGAATAGAGTGCAAGTCTAAGAGGGACAAGTGTTTTTTCATTTTTTCTTTTTTAAGAATAGAATTAGAATAGAGAGTGCTAGAGTTAGAGGGTCAAATTTTAGCTGATTCTTGAAGATGGCTAAGGACTCAGCTAATCAGATTGAGTTGGGCAAGTCATTCCACCAGGAGGGAACATTTAATTTAAAGTTATTAAAGTTTTAAAGAAATTTCCCCCCACAATTTACACAAAATTCTACTTAATGGGTTAGTTCACCCACAAATAAAATTGTCATTATTTACACACCCCTAGGTTGTTCCAAACTTGAATGAGTTTCTTTCTTCGGCTGAACACAAAATAAGATATTTGAAAGCATGTTGGTAACCAAACAGTTGCTGGTAGCCATTGACTCCCATAGTAACCCCCTCGGGGTGTCTCGGGCAAATGACTGTCATTGAGCAAAGTGTACAGGAGGGTTTTCAAAGGCGAATCTTTTTTTTTTTTCTCTGGGCTGCCATCTGATATAAATCTGTCCGGCCATCTGACACATCTGAGGTCCCCTGAGAGCTTGGCAACCACAGGTTTCGCTCATCCTCAAGAAATGGGAGGAAGGAGTCTTAAGACACAATAGAGCACCACTAATCCTATTTCACGATATTCCAAGAAAATGGCCTTGCCTTGGAAGCACTCTCATGGATTGTGGCTCCACTAGAAGATGGAAAAATGGAAATCTAAATTGCAGAATCAACTTTGTGCAATATTTTATTTATCAATACGACATTTGCACACACACACACAGACACACACACACACACATATATATATATATAGAGAGAGAGAGAGAGAGAGAGAGAGAGAGAGAGAGAGAGATGCAAGCCTGCACATTGCTGTGTCAAAAGGAAGATTACCTTGAAGATTAACGAACTGTGTAAAATGTGGTGTACAACTATCGCTCTAAATGGTAATAGAGTAACAATGAGTCAATTACAGGTGACTGAATCAAATATTTTGCTCATTTTATTCAAATCGCTTGCGAGTTAGTAAAAAAAAGTTAAGCTTAGCCTTTTCATCTATTTAAACATTTATATTTAAAAAAAAATATAACATTAACATGATTCATTGTTAAAAGTTATAAAAATGTATGAGTGGCCTTGAGATTTTTTCTTTTTTTTCTAAAATAATAACTATATAACATTTTTCACATTACTAACACACAGTAATACCTCAGAGATTGTTCTGCAATCCTGGAAGTAAAAGAATCAAATGATTCACTGTAATGTCATGTTCAGAAGACGCATAGCTAGTGCAAGTAAGCATTTTTGGATTTAGTTACGGGGGAAAAGACTGAACATTTAGAGTGCACTTGAGTTAAGAGAGAAATATCAACTGCTGGAATGCTGGAGGCAATTCTTGTTTGCTCTGGATTGGGTCATTACATAAGTGACTGGAACAACTTTGGTTGCAAGCCAAAATATAATCTGTGCCATTAATTACACAAGCCATATGGTCAACAGGGTCTAAACGCCATTTCCAGTTAGTCTTGGGAGGTGCTGGAAGGCATGCTGACATTTACACTAAGATCTCTGGTCTGGCCTTTGCCTGCCACTGTTTCGCTAAACACTCAGTGTCTGCTGTAAACCATCACATGCTTCAAATACTTTGATAACTGAAATCACCATAGTTGTGTATACATGTGATTAGGCAGCCATTGTATCCAATATGTTTTTGTGTGTGTGTGTGATATTCTTTTATGCTAAATATCATGCTTTTGATGAAATTTAAAGGAGACGTATCTAAAATGCTGACTGACACAAATATATATTATATTATACTCATTATACTTTATATATATATATACTTTATTTATTTTTTCATACAATATTGTGAAATCTTTTGAAGTTAGTAGCGTCATTCCCATTATTGGACACAACATAATTACTGGTCCAAAATATACCAACTGACTTGCTGCAACTATGCATGAAAGATAATTTTTTTGGTCTCAGTTTGTTGGTACAGTATGTGTGTTGACTAAACATATTATATATCAAGATATGGCAATTAAATTACCTCCTTGGATAAATAATAATAAATCATTGGTGGTAGTCTAGTAGTTAAGCCTCTGGACTGAAAAGGCTCAACATTGGTCAGAGTAAGCCATAAACTAAAGAGTTATTGTGCAACCCACCATTATACCTCTCCTGGGTAAGCCACTTAACTCCAGGTTGCTACAGGGTGATTGTTTTATTGTCCAAAATCCTGAATGTATGGACAGTCTCTTACATTTTCCACATATTTAGTTAATTGGAGGAAGTTTGTGGGCATTTAGCAGAAGCTTTATCCACAGTGATAATACATTTACAGGGACAATCATCCCTTGAGCAACCTAAGGTTACATGCCTTGCTCTACTTTCTCCTTTTTATACTGAAAGACTGTGGCATGTTTTGTGGTAGGGTACAACGGGGCTAAAGGCCCACCTTAAGAAAAAATGTGCCATTCACTGTGCCTAAATGTATAATTGCAGAAAAAAATATATACGTTGTATTGAACATTAATGGAGCAACAGATTTTGTGTGAAAATAAATAATTCAAGTTTTTTATTTTGTTTGAAATTCTTATAAATGTATGAGGTGGCGAGACCAGCATGGGGTAAGAGGCACACAGTATTGATACAAATACTTCAGCTAAAATAATGTTTTTGTTTTTTTTAAATAATGTCTAAGTTAATACGTGTTCAAAATAATCACTTTAGCAAAGTTTGTACTATTTTCTGCTTATTTTGAAACAATAAAATAATTGTTTTATTGTTTTTTTTTTTACTAAATATACTGTCATTAAAATATGTTAATATAAAAAATATATTTTAAAATACAGAAGCAAAATCGTTTTAATAAGTAAAGATTCGGAAAGTATTGAAGGAGGTACAATAATAATTGAATATAAATGTACAGTAGTAACAACAAATGATATTTTATTATATGATAGGATTAATATCATGGTTGTCACGCCCCTGGACTCTTTGTGTTGTGTTTTCCCTCCCCAGGTGTGACGTGTTCCCTTTAATTAGTCATTAGGGAAAGTTACTTTTAAAAATAATGGATTACAAGACTTTAGCAAAGTTTGTACTATTTTCTGCTTATTTTGAAACAATAAAATAATTGTTTTATTGTTTTTTTTTTTTACTAAATATACTGTCATTAAAATATGTTAATATAAAAAATATATTTTAAAATACAGAAGCAAAATCGTTTTAATAAGTAAAGATTCGGAAAGTATTGAAGGAGGTACAATAATAATTGAATATAAATGTACAGTAGTAACAACAAATGATATTTTATTATATGATAGGATTAATATCATGGTTGTCACGCCCCTGGACTCTTTGTGTTGTGTTTTCCCTCCCCAGGTGTGACGTGTTCCCTTTAATTAGTCATTAGGGAAAGTTACTTTTAAAAAT